AAGTCATAAAAATATACATAAATCTGATAATTTATCAATTCCATTGTAATCGTTCATGTATGTCGGACTCGGAATTCAGTAGCGTTCGCTGGCGGTTCGTGCGCGCGACGCAGCGCAAGCGCATGCGTGTAACGGATGCGTTTTTAGTCCGGTTAGCTGCGCGTGCGGAAAGTGTGTTAACGCGTGCGCGCCGAGCGCTTTGCGCAACCAACCGCATACGATATGCGCCACCACTCGCTCCCGTACGAACTCCCGTTGCTATTCATCCTCCAATATACTCTGCTAAGTTTACCCATAACGAGTAATAGCCATTGCGAAAAATTACTCAGCTGCGGTTACCGGCAATCTTAAACTTTATCGCTTACCGTATCATTTTACATAAGTAGTGAATGATTTAAAATTAACTTAGGCACTCCTGTTTTATACTACCGTAGTAAGTTAAATACCTTTTTGTATGTCAGATGACGTTGCGCCCGGATATCTTCCAGCGAGTCGTTTTATGGAAATACGCATAGCGTCACCATCTGACCGCTTTCACATTGCGTTATCTTGCTTTTGCACTCAAAGGTCAGTTTTGTACCGCACCAACAGTGTAGGTACGTTATGGACGCAGATTGAAAATCAATGACGAAAACACTAGGCTGATTTCAGCCGTTGAAAAAAAGAACCTTGGGTTATGATTAAGCAGATGAAAGTCTGCATTTTTTTTAAATCACTGTAATAATAGGCAATTTTGAATGTGATTATCTAGTGTGCAATGCAGGCTTTGAATATTTTGTATAATGTAATGCAAAATGTCATAAGCATTAGGTTTCTTATTCATTATTTCAGCCGTTGACCTAGCTAGAGTGTAGAAATTTTATAGAAATAAAGGTTTTTTCTAGTTTTGAAAGTGTCTGAAATCTTTAGTGAGATACAAAATTTCTTAGAAGTTATATTCTCAGCTCTGTATATGTTATTATACTTTATGTTGTAATCAATTTGTCTAAAATTATCATTATCACAGTCGTACGACGACGCCCACTCTGAGCAAAAGGCCTCTCCCAAGGCGATTAGTATTTAGTTTTATATTTCTTATATTTTTTGACCTTTCAATCAATTAAAGTATTTTGAATGATATACGATGTTAATTAACATTTGTACATCCTTTGAGTAAAGGAAATCGCTTCACGGATCTGATAATCGAAAACATAAAAAATTAATACTCTTATATAAAAGTAAACAATAAGTCGAATAAGGATAAGGAAATTCATTATCCCATTACAATGAATATCGGCCTTGCTTTCAAAATTCATCTGTAATTTGAGAGCAGAAAAATGATAAACGGGGAAGGATTGAAAAACCAATTAGTGGGAATTATTTTTTTTAATAAAAAGCTTCGATATTTATCAGTTAATAAGGTATATTTTACGAAAGGTCTCATTTTCGCAACCACTTCTCTTGGCAATGAAACTAAGTTATTTACCGCGTTCCCTATATCGGTTGTATGTAATGTAGGTGAACGTTGAGCCGGTTGAATGTGGGCTAACAGGGTGTCCAGTGTTTATTAATGAGTGTCGTGTCATCGATAGAAGCATTAGGATTCACATCCACTACAATGTGTAACATAATTGCTTTCATTAACTTAAATGTTTATCAATGGTTTTTTATGTATCAATCAGTATAAGTTACAGGGAAATATAGTTTTGATGATATTTAAAAATTCTGTTTTAGGAGTCTTTTAGCTACTTATATTGCTAGTGCTTCATTGGGTCCAAAATTGTTGCTGTTGCTAATCATTTCAGTGATAAATTTTTCTTTAATAAGCGAGAGATACTCTTGGTGTGATACAATTTATCAAGGAATGAACAGTCTTTGAATATTTAATAAATATTGAGCAAAGAATATTCAAATGATCAAATAAAAATATATGTTATTATTTATTAATATTTTAAGTGGTCGTGCTCTCGAAACGTTTGAATCTGATTTTGAAATTAGCTGATATTAGTTAATTTTCGGATTATCTTTGACATAGTTTTTTTTCGACTTTCACTTTGCTTGAGGGTTTGAGATTACAATAGGTTTATCTAATATTGGGATTATTATTTGCGCTATGCCGGTACTTCACTTGGCTATTCGTGTTTGCTTTTTGTAAACTTGTCATCGGTCTGTCCTTGTCATTCCTTATGAAGCATGATAAGGGAAGTCTGTTGTCTAGTTTAAAGTGCCGGCTTTATAAATTCTATAATACCAGTCATACACACTACGAGAAATCGTTACGATCAGACTGTACAGTTCGAACGGAACAGTTTATACGATTTCGTTTAGTATAGGAAACTGTGCAGTTTTATAACATACACGCTACGATTTATCGGTACCGTTCGGACGGTACAGTCTAATCGTAACGATTTCTCGTAGTGTGTATGGCTGGCATTAAATTCATGAAAATAGGATAGTATTTCATCATTTTAAATTATCACATTTCATTAGTTTTTATATTTTTAAAGTTATTCTTGTTCGTATTTTGAGAAGAATATTTTTGGCTAGCTGGGTAGTGGAAGGTCAGCCCAAATGGGATTGGCTCGCAATGGAAACCTCATCGACCGTCCGCAGTGCGCCCGCGCCGCGGAAACGCCTGGCTCGCCATTAGTATGCGACCGGACACCGCATCACAACTTTCTCGACATTCTTATAGACACCACGAGAAACAAACGTACAGTAATACAATGCTATTAGATTTGATAATGTCCTCATTTACAATTGGTTCTTCGTAGTAATTCCCTAAACGATATTTGACAAATTTATATTTCAATTTCTTCTACGCTGGATAATTAAAATTAAATACCTAAGCTATATTTACTCATCAAAAGAATCTAAGCAACATGAACTTTTTAGTTCACGATAGGAACATCGATTTTACGAGTACAGCACCCGAATGCAACAAACTTTTTTAGAAGGTAATAAATGTTTCAAATTTATTTTGTATTCATATTATTATTAAATTTATCACTTAAATGCAAACAAATCTTAATTTAACCAAGTAAAGTTTGTCAAACACAGTAAAGACTTGTCGCCATTGAACTGAATTTTAAACGCAATACGACTCTTCACTTGTAAGGAACATTTGTATTTAGTGATCGCAAAAGTTTTGCGGCAAATTCAAATAAAAAATTTACTTCTTGGGTTGTACGATTCAATTTATTGTAATATTTCACGGTGCATTTAACTTGAATTGTCTGGTGATTGTTATAGCATTAACTCATATGGGAACATTCTTGAGCATTTAGATGCACAGGCAGCCATCCATTACTGAAATGATGATTGCGTCCTTTATAGTCGATGTCAACGCGATAATGTAGGAAAATAAAAACAAGTGTTTTCAAGTAGTAGTTGCTTAAAGTTGCGCCATCTTCCTAAGCGTTCATAAAATAGTCGTTAGCACATACTTTAAGTACGAAGTAAAGTATCTTTAAGTACAGCACTGATTCAGTAGTTCTGTTAACAAAGGTGGATGGTTCATGTAGACGTATTTTTGCATAATTATATTTTTTTAACTGAATGCTTACTTCTATGTTTATTAAAAGATAATAAGTGGTTTCTATATGACCACCCGTTAAGTATATCGATGAAATCAAATAGACAGATAACAATTTATTAGCTTACGATTTTTTTAATATATCAACATTCTAACGTATTTATAATGCAGCAGCACTTATTAGGTATATACTTTGAAAATTATCGTAAAAGTCCCAGTGACATTCGACATCAAAATAGTCTTAGCAACATAGATCATTTACGCAAACTGCAAGTTTTATCAGTTTATATTTTATGTCATCGTTATGAAATGTATAATGTTGTATTATGCTTTAGTCACTAATAATAAATTCAATTGGTTATTATCAACAATGGAACATAAGTATTGAGAATATAATAAATCTGACAAAAGTTTTCTGTGTTTATGTTAAGGAGGACTTCGGTGGCCCAGTTACTGCGTTCGATTTGCGACTGTGTCAGTTGGCAACTATATTTATTTATTTATCACTACACAATACACTTACAGCGCTAAACCAAAACATACCCTGGTTAAAAAAAACAGTTCTAACAGCTAAACACTATCCCCCTTATTGATAAACAAGGTATAAGCTTAGACAAGTTACGCCATATTTTGTTCATGCCACTCAAATGGCATTTGTCATTCAATAGACAAAGACAAAACATGGAGTAACTAATCCAAGCGTAGTCTTCGTTTATTAATAAGGGGGTATGCGTACAACTTAAACATGACAGCAAATAATAAGAAAATATACATCATTTTTGAGACAAAATGTCAGCCTCCGGAATCCGATCATGTATAGCGTTAAGAAAATAGATTGCTCTCGAATTCGGTGCATTTTGAGCTCGTCGCGTACGTACCTTAAGCTCCGCAAAAACTTGATCGTCTGCGTAGCGCCCCTACGTCGTTGCCTAACGCTCCGCTCATGTATCTTTTCGGTAGTACTAGTTTCATATTTTCAAGAACTACTGGATTGTCGACCTTATTATGGATGATCGCATAACAATGCCAAAGCCAAAGAGATTTTCCGACGCGAGGCGAGAGTATCCTGCCCCACCACACCCATCTACTCTCTTTCTCCTTAACGAACTTTCGATAACGAAATTTAATTTCATCAATTTAAGGTTATGCTGAATTTGTACGATAAACTATCAAATTTCAGCTTAGAAAATCTACACCTCAATCTATATTTTGACGACGAATATTGTTATAATTAAAAACGAACCAGAAACATAGTAACAAAAGTGCGAAGTTTTAATCTAAATTTCTTTTTCATTGTATTATAGTAGGCCTCCAGATCATCGTCGTTAGCATCGGCATCAACACATCCGATCTAAGCTCGCGTGGTGGGTCATGACCGAATCTCCCTATTCCATAAGCATACGGATGGCCTGTGCCCCAGCAGTAGGAACATTAAAAAGCTGATGATGATAAATTTATATTTAAAGTATTTGTTTGTTGGTTGCAGGTAGCGATGGCCGGCGACTTCATCCTCGCTGTGGCGTCGATGATGATAGCTCGCTTGCGCAGCGATGACGTCACACTTGTGCTCAGCCAGGTAAGATGATTGCATCTACGTGTTGATTAGGATATGTCTCTAGGCGAATCTACGATTCCGTAGAACGCCTTGGCATACAAGATAAAGTGGAAGGTACCAGATCATGTGGCAGGTTTCCTATGAGATGAGGCCCTATTGCACCAAGTAGTCCATGTATTGAGAATATTGGCGAAAAATCGAAATGCGAGCTACCTCTGCTCCGTCCCCGGATGCCTCACCATGGTCACGTTCATTCTGACAAGAGTGAAGCGAGCGAGAAGAAGTTGATTTATTAAACCTTTGATAGGCAGATGTTGCTAAGTGTCTAGTGCTAATATGTAAAATGTAAATGCGCCTATTACTAGACAACGCGAAGTGATTAGTCTAGCTAGTCTCAAATGTAAATATTATTTTTGTACGGAAAATCCAATTTATCGTGCATTGATCCTTTTTTCTTAATATATCTTTATAATGTATCTTTTTATTAATTTTTCCTTTTCAAAATCCTTTTTTCTCTCATATTATTATAGATACGCATTATGCATGAGTATTATTGAATTTTGCAATAAGTTAAATATGTTGGAACTGTAATGCAAATACATTTCAATTGTGCAATAAATAACTTAAATAAATACCACATAATATTAAGCACGCCTTGTCGCATCTATAACTTAGACTATGCCGCATCTATAATTTTGTTTGTAATTTATACTCAAGCAGTAAAGGGCAATCCATCAAGACCTTGTAGGTACAATATGAGCGGATTTTTTGAATCTGAGACTGATGAACATTGTAAAATTGTTCAATTATTTGATACATTTAAAGAGAATAGGTTTTCGATAAAACTGATCGATAATAATCGTGACTCAATAATAGTCTTTTCGACACAGCTCCGGTATAAAACAAATTATGCTACAAAAAAATTCGTACTACGTACCAAGCTGGAAACGAACCCTTCGCTATCTACACGAATACACAAATGAATAAATTGGATCTTAACAGACATTTCGATTTTTTCCTGATATTTCTTACGCTGCAAGGCCCAACTAGACTTGTACAAAACACAAAATAACAGTTGCATATATTAAACAATAACAAAACAATGAACAAATTCATGTTTGTTATTTTTTTTTTCAACTTATTACAACACTTTGGATGGCTATAAAGAGTGGTTTACTATGTTTCTAAGTATTATCCATGATGCTTCCGTCTTGCGACCACGAAACCTGAACATCGGGAAAATGAAAAAATATTGAAAATCGCAAAAGAGCATACACCAATAATTATTTTTTTTTATTAAAAACCAATATTTTAATAAAAAAATAATTTTTTTATCAAATTATTGGTGTGCGTAAATTTAATATAGGATTTTTACTAAGTATAATGTAGGTAGCTAGCACAGACATAGATAATTTAGAACTATGGTAGATACTCAATACCAACAAAAAAAATAATAATAAAGAACTTTCGGCCTTGTTTTCCTCTAGGTCGTTTTTGAGTTATTGTCTGATATACTGGATATGAAGTTATGACATCTTCTTTCAGGGAAATATCCACGCGCTTACGTGGGGGGTAAAATTAAAACGGCACATGAAACTAACTCGTTAAACTGACCGTGCTAAGTTCATCTTACTTAAGTATTTTAATAAAGAACTTTCTGCCTTGTTTTCCTCTAGGTCGTTTTTGAGCTATTGTCTGTTAAACTGGATATGAAGTATGACAACTTCTTTCAGGGAAATATCCACGCGCTTACGTGGGGGGTTAAATTAAGACGGCACTGAAAACTAAATAGTTAAACTGAACGTGCTAAATTCATCTTACTTTAGTATTGTTGGTGTTTTTATTAAGATGACCTCCGTGGTGAGAGTGGTATGCACGCCGGGTTTCAAGATGTCGCCTACACAGAGGTCCCGGGTTCGAATCCCGGCAGGGCAAATGTTTGTATGATGAATACAAGCATTTATATCTAAGTCATGGATGTTCATATGTATTTCTGGATAAATATAGTTATACATTTATTATTACCCTAGTATCCCATAATAAGACTTAAGCCCGATTTCCACCGCCAATGAGAAACGATATAGGGCTAGACATCTAGCCGAGCTGTCTTCGTGTACATAAAAGGGGAGTATAGGTTTGCACCGCCAAAGAACGAGCTCAATTTTACTCTTTTTGCCCTCTTTTTCGCTTAACTCAATGTTGGTGGAAACAGCAACGATATTAAATACCTTAGATGCACCACGTGCGCTCAAAATGTGTCCCGATCATGAAGTGCTTGAACTCCACCCAAGCACTTCTTGGTTCACAGTCACGCGCGGACCGTTGAAAAGTCAAGATGCCGCGGAGCACCATGAAAAAAATCGTAAAAAATATTAATAGTACGTAAATTTAGGGTTTTTCGTCAGGTATCTTATCAATGTTTGTTAATTTAATGCATTTGAAGCAAATATTGTTCTTATACTTACTAAAAACTGATTTAATAGAAAATATTTGTAATATTCAAATGCATGGTCGGTTATATAGCCGTCTCTTTTCTTCGGAGCCCGTATATGCTATATTGCTTACACCGCATTCGGAATTGCGCGTAGAGTCAAAGCTATATTGTCTATATTCTTTCGCATATATAAATAATTCGTTAAATTTTACGAACTGTCATTACTCTTTGGTGCATGCGTTTTAATTAAGACCTTATACAGTAAACATTAAAGGTGACTTTCAATAATAAGTATAATGCCTTATATTGCGTGCTATTAATGCGTTTTTGAGAACGCGATCATCTTACGGAGCTCCGTGGATCGTCCAATGTATCTTTTGGACATGTTTCGGCCACGATTTTGTTCGTGTTGTTGTATCTAGGGTATTTAATATCGTTGGCAAACAGATGTATGCATTTTTCTTCTGCGAGGTAACTTGCTTGCTTGTTTACTTTGGGATTAGGCTAAACGATGTGAGTATTGGAAATATTTATTTATTAATTATTTATCTATTTCATTCCAGGTGGTGACAGACCTGGTGCAGGGCGAGTTCATGCAGCTCGGCAGCAAAGAGACGGAAAACGAGCGGTTCGCGCACTACCTCACCAAGACCTACAGGAAAACTGCCTCGCTCATTGCCAATTCAGTCAAAGCGGTATGTCTCTCAAAACCCCGATCTAAACTTTTTTGTTGTATTTTCGCGTAATGGTCCCCACACCGGCGCGACGAAGCTTCGGATAGTATTGGGCGCGCTAAAATTAGCGTTCGAAATTTGAATTAGTTCTGTCGTAAACGAATAAGCGGGCTGTGTTTAGAATATAGCTTGACTGGCTTGATTTGACACGCAAAAAAGAGGTTGTGAGAGACGATAAATTTGTATGTGCAGCTGAAGGAACGTACTTAATTCTAAGTTCGAGCGCTAATTCTAGCGCAAATTAGTACCAAATCCACCCGAAGATTTTAAGCAAAAGAAAGGCAAAGGTAAAGAAGAGCATACAGCCTGGTCTTAAGTGATATATATATTTTAATATTATAATGCGCGTGTAACGTTTTGTGATGTTCCCTAAAGTCCCAAGCACCAAATGCATCGAGTTACATTACTCGGCATGTCTTAGGGACTGTAGACACGCGGGCTCGCCTTTGGTTTGGCATAGAGTCAATCGGGCTAGATTTATTTAATATCGATTCGCTTTTGTATTTTTATGTGTTTGTGTGCAAGCAGCGTCGTTTATAACAAAATAAAAAAGTTTCGGTGACTTTTTGACCTGTGGTGTTACAAGTTTTCACTTTTTAAGTTGCTAAACCACGCTTTTTTATACCCAAATATCAAAAATGAATGAATTTGTAAATATTTTAAAGATGACGCCAACTTCAGTGTTATGAAATTGTTCCAAATGACTCAAAGTCTATCAAGAACGTTTTAGATCATAATTTCATGCAAAGTTATGTCCTAGTAACTAGTATCAGACCAAAATTTGCAATGGCCAGTACCTATACATACTTGATAATCGTGAAATAAAGGATTCCATTGCTCGCGCAGTAGATGAAACAGATAAGTCTTGTTTATATCATAATTATGACGGAAGTATTACAATTATTCGCAAGTAAAACCTTAATCAAATATAGTACTAATAAAGTACTACAATATGGGGGAAAAAACGTTGTATGAACATTTTTATTACTGCAAAAACCGAACAAAGCTATTTAGGAAATTCACTGTAGGAAATCCGTAATGCATTGTAGGTTGATTGTAAGTGATAATTGCGTGGCCCTGTCCAATGTTACTAGAGTTGTGATTGCACAATTAGTTTATACAATTTATTTACATTCTTTTAATGTCGCTTTCATTATCACATGCCAGGACGTGAAAGGAGATACCCTCTTATTGTATTTCAATTCATGCAGTGTTTTTTTTATGATCCAACTTAAAAAGTTTGCTTTATTAAATTCCAATGTCTGTATGAAAACTTCACATAAAAGGATATAAGTATAACTTGATTTATGTATTTTTTACAATACAATCAAAAGTAATAAACAATGGTATATGGTTACTTGTGCCGTCCGGGGAGATCCCGTGAAGGTTCTTTCCTTATTTCTTGTGGAGTGTTTGTTTTTTTAAACTTGAAATACCATTAAGGCATAATTGATTATGATGACATTTTGATACTGTCGACGCGACGTAAAGAGACCAGAGTGATCTCTGTATATGTACATTTTGAGATTCTCTGTGTATTTAAGTTTATTTCCGCTTTTGATGATAATCTGTTAAAACGTCCGGTTAAACACTTAACATTTTAAATTCGATTTTCGTATTAATTTCTGAATGTTTTCTTTGTTCTAAGTATATGATTCATATAAAGGATATAAAAAAATCTTACAAATTCAATTGAAAAATTATGTAAGAGGATATTATAATGATTAATCGTGTAACAACAGGTAGTAAGTGTATGAACTCTGTAAGATATATAAAAATGCAATCATAATAACATCATAAAATTTGACGACCTCCGAGGCCGAGTGGTTTGTACGCCGGGTTTCATGGTGTCGCCGACTCGAGATTCGATGTTTGTGTGATGAATACTTGCATTTGTACTCCAGTCATGGATGTTTAATATGTATTTCTATATAAATATACTTATATATGTACAGTATATGTATTCTATCCGTTTCCCTAGTATCCCATAACACAAGCCTTATAGTGCTTACTTTGGGTCTAGGCTAATTGGTGTGTGTGTTGGAAATATTTATTATTATTATTATTTATTATAAAATGTTTATGCTTAAAAAATAATACAAATATAAATGGGCGAGTTCTGGTTGTTCATTTGAGCGCTGCTAAACAAACGCTAATTTTTCCAGGTTCCAGTTGTATGTATGTAAAAATATCATCTAAATCCATTCCGCAGTTACAAACATACAAAGCTCCATATTTATAATTATGAGTAGGATTACAAAATCTTATATAAACTAATCCATCACCGTCATGGTTTTCTTGAGAGTAAGCTCTCATATTTCTCTATACTAAAGCAAGCCAAGTAAGCAAGTATACAATAAATATGATCTATAGAAGAGACTGACTATAATACTCATCTAGGGATTTCCCGATAAATGTCCTTGTATAAAGGGCACCAGATGAACGGGACTTCACATTCGATCCGGGTTAAAATTTTCGCAATATCGGTCTCTGTCGTCCACTGAAATTGAAAATTTTGAAATTAATGGACATTTTATGAGAAACTAAATAATATGTACCGGCTCACCCGATAGTTATCGATAAGCCGAAAGAAACTTATGTTTGCCAAAATATATTAGTGCCTAAAATATTAGGGATGATGGCTTTTATTTTTAGGCTGCACTTTACGAAAGTAATATTAATTTAAAACTAGCTGACCCGCCGTATTTCATACTACTTACAATATTTTAAAGAAATGAAAGCTCTCTGTTCGACAGAAACACAGCTTTTACTATAGTTAGCAATTATTTGCAGGAAGCTTCTGTAGATTGATCGTTCAGCAAATGAACTCTCATATTTACTACCAGCTAAAATCCGTTACCTGGCGCTTCAAATTGATTAATAGAGGCAAGACCTTATTCCATTGTCAGTAGTCGATCTTGGAATAACTGTTTGGTGGAAATTTTTAGATAGTAAAATCATTCTGCGCCCGTCGTACCTTAATCTATCTACCTTTTTTATCAATATGACCGTTGTTGTAGAAGCAACTGTCATATTTTCATGAATAGTGCATGGCCAAATTCAATGATATTAATAATGTCTTCAGAATTCTACTGATTCCATCTTAGAATAATAAGCCGCGAAGCAATTAATAGATCTGACCCACCCACCGTAACGACGAACATTTATATTGCTCATGTTTATAATGACGCAGACTACCACTGTGTGCATGCATCGGTGGAAGAATGGGCAATAGACCACTATTAGCTGCATCTCCTTCGGTGTTAATTGCATCACGTAATTATACTCTTCCAACGCAGTTTGGCTTGGTTTAACTGAATGAAAGTTAGGTATTCCGTTTCGATTTTGACGCAAGCGACGTACCGAAATTACAGAGCTGGTTATTGGCGTTTCGACGAGTTATGAAACAGTAATTACGCGTCGTAGGTTACTTTAGTATATTTAAAAGGGGTTGAGATTGGTTTCCAGTTCTTTGCCCCATATATTCTCCTTCTTCTGTCAATATGTAATATAATGTACTATCACTGATTTTGAGTGAATGCCAAACAAATAAGCTAACTCAGCTCAGCTAACTTATTTTAGTCGTGGCGCGAGTTGTTAATTGTGGAAGATGACGGAATAAAATACTTTATTTCAAAAATATCTCTTGCAATAATTGTATTTTTTTTTGAAAAATGAATTAACTGTTTACTCTTCAGAAACTTACAGGATCGTTAATTTTAATTTATCAGCACGCTTGCTGAAGTATATTCATTGCATTCTTATTTCAATATTACACCATATTTTTTATAGATTAATTTTTATAACGCCATTTGACGGACGCAAGTAAATAATTATCTCTATTGTCGTTCGGTAGGTTGCGCTACTAAGCGGCGCTGACGCGGGCGCCTGCGAGGTGGCGTTCCAGTATGGGCGCAACCTTGGGCTCGCCTTTCAACTCGTCGACGACCTGCTGGACTTCGTGTCCTCCGCGCAGGCCATGGGGAAGCCCACCGCCGCTGATCTGAAGTTAGGGCTCGCCACTGCGCCCGTACTCTTCGCATGCGAGAAGGTAAACCAATACATACAGTCATACATGCATTGAACACTATCACTGCACACGTAGGGCTCGTCTTCCAGCTCGTCGAAACCCTGTTGGACTTCGTGTCCTCCGCGCAGACTATGGGGAAGCCCATCGCCGTTGATCTAAAGTTAAGGCTCGTCACTGCGCCCGTGCTCTTCGCATGTGAGAAGGTAAACTATCCAACACATACATACACTGAAATTTATCACTAAATTGCCCAACACATACATTTTATTGTACACTATCACTGAACATATACACTAATAGTACTTTTATCGTATACGGCCCCCCCCGAGGGATGCGATTAGTGTTTTGAAAGTAAAATTCATGTATTGCAATCACAAAGAATTGCAATACAGACTGCAAGTCAAACTCTGAAAAGAAAGAATTCCGGTTCAGATTACCATTTTAAAAGTATATTTCAAAAGGAAAAAATCAAATATCATTACAATAAAATAGAATTTCAATGTATCCATTAACGTTTATTCCTTGATTGGCATAGTAAAGTTAAGTTACGCGTATCGTAATGTACTAATTCTACATGAGTGAAGTTGGTCAATTCATTTACACACCGTGCAGAAATAGGAAACTTAGGTCACGGAAAAGCGTGCGTAAAGTGCGGGTTTAGGTCACACTGTGCTATAAACACATATACTGAACACTATCCAACACATACTTTGAACACTATCACGATCTACTGAAAAACGTCCTTCACGCGGGCAATGGACAAGCTAAAGAGGCTTCAAGTGCCTGAGCTTCTTCCACCCGCGATAGGGGAGCAGAAAGACTTTCCTACAGGGAGTAGGCGGTCCAGTGACTGAGAAACTTTTATCTGGGAGGGAGTAGAGGAGGGGCGGATTCTACTTCCACCCCCTAGTATTTAGTGGGTAGGTGTTCATGCGAGAAATTTAAACAACACACATACACTGAACACTATCTCGACTTGCTAGGACTTTGAGTAAACCTACCGCCGCTCATCTTAGCTAGGGCTTGCCACTGAACCTGTGCTCTTCGCCCGTGAGATCACTGAACACCCGACACATACACATAATACTATCTAACATATGCACTCAGCATATACTCTGAACACTATCACGATCTGCTGGTAATGGTCCATCAAGCAGGCTGTCTAAAACCTGGAAAGGCTTCAAGCGCCTGAGCTTCGTTACGAATTTTGACAGTTCCTGAATGGTATCATCAGCATATTTTGTATGGAAGGAGTCAGTTTGTTCTTACGTCCGGTAGTTTTAATAGAAACTTTGACGATGCGATACGCAAGGTCTTTCATGACGACGATTCTGAAACGGTTTCTCGCCATCACCGTGAGGTTTTTAGTGGGTAGGAATTTATGGTAAGCCAACACATACATACACTGAACACTTATCACGACCTGCTGGACTTCGTGTCCTCGACGCAAGCAGTCTTTAGCTCGCTCTACCAAGAAATCGCTTTTGATACTGCGGGACGATTACTAATCATCATCACATAAATTCGAGTAGTATAATGATTTATTTTCTAAAAATAAAATGCTTTATCTGCATGCCGCCCCAGTCTGAGTAACTACGTTTTCAAACGTACCACCGTAAATCATAAACGTATCACCTTACAACATCGTGACAGTAAAGCTACCTAAAACTCGTGAAATTATATTAATACTGAAGTAAATAGTCAATTAAGGATTTCAATATGCACTCCATTGTTATTATTAGCTAAGTTAAAGCGAAGTATTTTATCAAATAAAAAAAGAAATTCTCTTATATTTACAAAAAAAAAACTTTCATTTCAGTACCCAGAGCTGAATCCGATGATAATGAGGCGGTTCCAAGAGTCAGGCGACGTGGAGAAGGCGTTCGAGCTCGTTCACAAATCCCGGGGGCTAGAACAGACGCGATTCCTAGCGCGCAAACATGGCGCAGAAGCCGCGCGTTTAGCCGCAGAATTCGCAGATTCTCCCTACCAAAAGGGATTGGCAGTAACTGCCGATCTAGTGCTCAACCGGATCAAATAGGACCATTAATACCCAACACGGAACGACTGGAATGCCGTAAGTGAGTGAGTGAAATCTTTATTTACCCCAGCCAGTGGTTCCGAGGACCGAAGGACCGAAAATGTCACGTTGCCGATGCTAGGACTCGACCCGACTCGCCAGTATACGCCGCGACCGAGTGAAATGGCATTTTCAAGTTTTTGTTAGGCGTTTTTGTTTTGTTCGTTCATAAGAATGATAAGGCATCTGAAGTTCCGATGCCCTTTATTGAGGGCGAAGCCGAAAGATTTTTAGAAGACATGAATTATTTTATTTATTTTGCAAAAAGGTGATTTTCGGAATCGCCGATGTTTAGCTTCGAGCTGGCTTTATGTACTTTCATGGAGAAATCAATGGGTACTCCGATGGTATTGACGACGATGATGATTTTTAATGATACGGAATTTCAGATACCTTTTCTTTGTGAGTGTTCTCGAAGTGTGTACTTTATTTTATCGGGTGTCTAGTGAAGGTGCCAGTTCGGTCAACCCGGCGAGTCTACACACACCGACTTTACCGTCGATATTTTATGTCAAGTAAAAAAGAAATTATGTGCCCTGATATTATTTATATTAACGAATTATATCCTATATAATTATATAATTTTGTTATAATATTAATGGTGGATCAGTTTGACTGAATCATGTCGTTGGCATGGTTTCCGCGACGTATCAAATATTTATTTATATTATATACGTACGTATAGCATTGTGTATAGTCGTTTACATTATTATGATGTTTGTATTCGTTTTTATGTATCCCTTCACTTGTGTGACCTGATTTAATTTAAGATAGTTTTCTACGAAAGTACTCGGGAAACCGTGAACTATCTGCGACCGGCCGCAAAGAATTAGTGAGCGCGTTTGTTTCGTACTTCCGTTACTAGATGGCGCTGTAAATGCTTTCATTATGGCGTCGCGTCGCTGCTCGACTATTTTGTAGAGGCTCATTTTCACGGAGCAGTAATTGTGTACATACTATTATCATTTTTCAATTCTGATGCTATCTTATCTTGTTCCTTTATCTTCGTGACGTGCAATCTTATAGGCATAGAGTTAGAAAGTACCTGTGTTATTAGTGCACATATGAACTTTTTTTTTGTCATCACAAAATTATGGAAAGTGTGAATCCCGCTCGCGTAATACTTTTTGTTTTGTTACGTTTAACTCTGTGTAAATATCGAGAGTCATTGGATAAGTTACCCGTGTTTATTTTCGAAACCAATTACCTCAATTTCTTTAGTGTACTCGTTCCATACTAGAGGTGTATATTATGTTCTGTGTAGTGTTAAATTTTAAGTGTCGTATGAAGCCGCACAATTATTAAGGCGAATTTTGGTAAAACCGTTAGTAACTGCTGCAACAATGTTATTAGTTTAAATTAGTTGGTAGTGTTGTAAATAATACGTCAAATTGTTCAATTCTCTTGGCGATTGAAAGTACTTGTGTACCAGAAATAGAGATATGCACCAACAACGCAGTATTTAGAAAACTTATTAATTGAGGTTCATGTTATTTAACAAAATATTAGTCATTAATTAGGTAACGATTAGAAGAGGGCGGACACAATAACTGATTCTCAGGTTATAATCCTTTTTGTAAAACTTTGAGCATCAAACTTTTTGCTACGTTTAGTACGAATTGTAGAATGCTATACGATTACTTTTGAAGTAAATGTTCAGGTTCAAAAGTACAATTGCTTTTAGGATTGTGGATTGATGTAATCGTATCTACCAAAAAGATGTTACAGATTTCGCTAGGAGATAATTTAGTCTGTAAATTCTGATGGTTGAGCAAATTAAAGTGTATTGGCACTTTTTTGTGTAACAAAAGGCTTGAAGTTTTACGAATTTACTTACAAGAGTTCCATCCATAATCGAAATTCTTGTAACATTTTCATTGGTTATTCTGTCAGCCCAAAAATATTAAGAGACGGCAGATGTATGTTTTTTGTACATTATATGTTAAAAATGGGAGTCAATGAATTTTATTTATGTATGTAGACATGTACGTAGCTCATATTGTTTGTAAATATTATTACTCTGTAAAATGCTAAATCATGAATCATTTTTAATATAAATATTAGTTACTGAATATTGTTTTATTTATAATTTTTTATCCAATGCTTGACGGGTTTTCAGATTGATCCATTCAATATTTGATACCATTCCATTTTGATACCATGAGATATAATAGGGACGATGACGGGGTATATTAAACGAAATTCTATATACATATTGTCCGTCAGTTAGATTATAAAAAAATAATAGACACTATCTTTTCTTTTGTTAATCAACCTTAAAAAAAGGAGTGGGTCTCGTAACGTCACCTCTTAGTAAAAATTTTACTAAGACGTGACGTCACAAAACATTTCAAATCAATTTAACTGTATAGTTTTGATTAAGTGAATAAAGAAAAAAGTCGTGTCCAATAGTTTTTAATAATCTACCTGATAGACGAAGAAACAAAAGGTAAGCCATCATCCCTTTTAAATATCCAATATTACCACTTGGTATTGTGTTTCTGTAGGTGATCAAAGATTACAGGATTAAAAGGGGTAGGGAATACGCTCGGGGTAGGCAATGCGCGAGCGATAATGAGATCGTAATACTATAGTAGCCGTTTACCGTGTGAAGTTAGCAACGAGTGCAACTACCAAATCAGGCACCAAAATTTCGTTTACTGCGCTGCGATTTGCACTAACTTCACAGCCATCGTTAATTTCAATGGCATTTCATTATGAGGAGAACCATAAGGCAAACAAGCGCCGTCCTATACATAAAAGGGAATGTACAATATAAGGTGTAAATATATTTCACGATTTTAATCTTATTGGTTGGATTCAAAGTTCGAAATCGAATGTGTAGTAGTGTAGTAGCTTGTTTCCGTAAATAGAGTATAGACTATTTACGGAAACAAGCTACTAGCAACTTGTCATTGGCTGGAAAAACAATTCCCTTTCTCGTGTGACACAGTATTCCATCCTTATCTTTTGTAAACGATTGTGTGACAGAGAAAGCGCTTCACTAACTCATTCGAGTGAAAAGTGTACCTATACCAGCCCCATTATCATGAGCACAGCAACATGATATATAGCTCGTTTTCATCACGCTCAATTGTCAAATTACTATGGAGTTTGACAGTTAGACGCGATACAAAACGTTATACAGGGCGTCCCACGGGTTTGTCACACAGAGGGAAAGTATATTTAATATTGAAGATATTTTACTGAAAGAACACATCATTTTATTTTTTATAATTACTAGCCCCTCTAGCATGACCACCGAAACGGGATATGATAAAGCGATATATCGACATTTACTGTCAGACTACTGTCAAACTCCATAGTAGTCTGACAGTTGATGCCGATATTATCGCTTTATCATATCCCGTTTCGGTGGTCATGCTAGGAGGGTAGACCTACATTCACAGGTTTTTTTTAAAATCGACTGCTACAACTGAGAATCAAACTCGTAAAATTTGAAAAAGTAACACATGACAAACTTTATGATAACCATCGAAAAAGTAATCATAAAGATTATTTTTTCCCAAATAACATAGCATATTAAATGAAAGGAAGATCATGAAATAATAAAACTAAAACTTTATTCAGGAAAATTTCCTTTTACTCTTCCAACTGCTAATGTTTTCTTTTAAAGTATTTACTAACTATTACCTGCTCACTTAATAATACAGGATTTCCTTACTATAAGTACGCGAAAAAAATAATAAAGCGATACTTATACAAACCTTGCACCGCTTTTTCATTGTTTGTGTTCAATTATTAAAAAAAATCTTATTTTATGATTTTGCTTTAATTTAAAATACTATGATATTCAGGAAAAAACAATCTACATGATTAACCCTTTCGACGGTTATCATAAAATACATGTTTTTTTTCACATTTCACGAGTTTGATTCCCGGTTTTTGCAGGCGATTTTTTTAAAACTGTGAATGCAGTTCTACTCATTATTTAAAATAAAATGATTTCTTCTTTCATTAAAATATACTATCTTCCCTCCGTATGAGAAACCCGTGGGATGTCCTGTATAATGTAAATTGTGGCTCATGCTAGGAGGACAGGTGTACAAAACAGTGGGACAGCTGTTGAAATGGCATAAAGTTTACATCTCGGCAAACTTCTTGAGTCTTGACAGTTTAACAACTTGACATATTGTAATTTTATCACAAAAGTGCAATAACAAAAATCATAAATTACAGTCGAGTCGAAAGTACAGACAGACACAGGTCGCTACGTAAAGGTGACAAAAAAAATGATCAAGGGTCCTTGGTCCTACCGAACTACAGCGATTAATGTGGTATCGATAAATACCTGAATTATGTAAATTATTTGAAAAAAATAATTTTATATAATTTAGGTATAGGTAATAACCTCCCCTCCCCCTTTTTCAGTTAATGAAAATTGAATTATCGTGGTCCATTTTGCTGAAATTCAAGAATAACCTTAGAAATATACACTGCTGACAATGTCAAATTAAAATAATATTTCCTTGTAAAGAACAAACACCAATAAATATACTAAGAAGTCTGGAGTCCAAAAGTAAATTGAAGTTATTTATTATTTATCGATACCATATTAGTCGCCATAGCGCGGTAGACCACGGGTACCAGAAGGGCAAACCGGATGGACCACGGGCCCTTCATTCCAACTGACTTTGAGATTTATGCTGCTTGATACAAGATTTCCAATCTATTTATAAAATCTGACGGTTTGTGTGAACTTGATAAACTGTCTATACTTTATCGAAGCAGTAACAATGGCCACACCTATCCTTTATTTACAAAATTGTATATAATACTACATTACGTACTTGCTATAAATTACAAATCTACAATTCAGGCAGCACATGGCGAATATTCGGCTCACTCCAATTAAATACCAGGTGGGGTTGCACAACAAAACTTGTTTGTCACGTCTCAACATGCAGTAGGTATAGGGCACGGGGCCATAGGCTTTCCTTGCATATAGAATTGCAAACCGAGAATCGGATATGCAGCAAATGTGCGGCCAGTATACTACCTACTTAGATGCCGCAACTCCTGACGCGCATTGTGGGGACTGCGGTCCTCGGAATGCGGGCCGGGTGACTGTTGCAGGAGTATTGTCTGGTTTTTAGCGAGTAGAGCCCTGTCATTTCATCGAGCTATTGCCGCAGTAGCATTGGGTGAAATGACAGGAAGAAGCGCACGGAGCCCTTTCATGCATGCTTCCCAGTGTGCAAGGGTTATTCATGTACTTTCCACTAATTTTATATTAGTTGAAACATTGCACCGATCTTTAGGTACCTATTATCTGAGATTTCAAATTGATAAGCCGATTGAATTTGGAATTACCTGTATTTTTTATGTTTATTATAGGGGGCATACGAACTCGATTCATCTAATGGTAAATGATCAGCGTCGCCCATGATACACTCTTTAATTATTACTGAAATAAATTTTGGTGTAAATTGTTACGAAAACATAAAAAGATTTTGGATTCTAGCTAGGAAAGCTTACCTAAACTTAGTCATACCTTATTAACAAAAACAAAAAAAAT